GCTTCAAAACTCAATCTGCAGCCTCTAACACAATCATTTGAGAGTTGCGTCCTGACAGCAGCAGACTGATCAAAGCTGTCCACTGAGCTCAGGTAAAGACTTGCAGCGTTATCAGAGCAGCAGCTGGGACATGGCAGCTATTCTCAGAGCGCTGACACTGTTGTTCTGCTGTTTCACTTCTGTCTGCTGCCGGCGGGAGGCTGACGCTCGCCCACATCAACCCAACACCTTGCACAAATCCCATTTCGCGTGTCGGACATGTTTGTAAAGGATTTGGACCTCGGTGGCCCTCTGTTCTACAGAGAAAGTCCTCCTGAATCAGGCAGGATTACAACATGCCGGCGCAGGGACTGTGCAGTCAGCAGTGGGAGACTCAGCAGAGGAGGGCCGGACGTGATCAGAGAGCCGAGGAAGACTTTACTTCAGTTCAAAAGCTTTCAGACCTTCTATCAACTGAGGCCTGAAACCATTGCAACATTAAAAAAGATCACTCATGTAGAAACAACAAGAATCAGACCAGCTGACTTTTTTCTTCTTTTCCCTAATCAGGTATTGTGTATCCTTATTAAAGTTGAATCATGAAATTAAGCATAGATTTTTTTACACAATTTTAAAAAACATGCATTAAAAAACTCAAAAGTTTGAAGTAAACATTTCTCAAGGCTCCATCTATTCATCTACATCCAAAATATTCCATTTGCTGGACGATGTAACGTTATTTTTTTGATGTGTGTAAGTTTCTCATCCTGAATGCACCCAAAGTATGTGTGCTGCAGTCAGTTTTTATTCCAAATTCTAACTCCTGCTATGAAATAGGAATAACTTAAAAATTCACTCTGTGGAAAAAGCTCAACATCATGCTTCTATAGAATCCAAAGCTGTGAAACTTTGTGATATGGTCTTTTAGAAGCCACAAGTCCAAATGATAGCAACTGCATTTTAAGAAAAACATGTTTTAGTCGTGATGTTAAAGAGAAGTACTACACTACCCACAATCCTTAGGTATAATAGCAGCTTAGATTGGTGGAGCTCGCCGTTACCATGGAAATGTTTATAAATCAAATCTGTTATGATCGGATAGCCAAGCTTGACATGACGGTCACCACAGAGCCATGATTTCTCTTTCTGACATGCTGCGTCTTTTTTAAAGATGAGTCCAAAGGTGAAAATCAAAACAGTTAAATTCAAGAGGAAGAACTGGAAGTCGTCTCGTAATAGATTATAGTTCTGTCACACTTAAAAAATGATGTACACACTTTTGTAGCTCTACTTTTCCCGTTGTTCAATAATTATCTTGCTCCCAATCAATTATTTAATGTTTACAACTCCTCTCGTAAATGATCAGCCTGGTTTCAAGCTTAAAACCTTTTTCTTTTTTTTTTGCAACATCAATGGAGAAAATGAATGAGAAAATTACTTCTGTAACCAGAGCCGTTCTAAACATGGGCGGGCCCTGTTACCCACTCAAGTTGGAAATTATTGTTGACGGTATATATGTGCAGTAGGCCACGGCTCCTACTGCTACATTCTACATCACCTTGATCTACTTATGACCGGTTCTCATCAACAAGTTTGTTGCTCGCTTTAGGAAAACGAAGGAAACTAGACATTTGGATAATCATGACTAAAAACCCCCAAAACATTTACACAGGATAGATGCAACAGATGAGCACACAGTTGAGGCTGTTATTTCATAAGCATTCTGTAAAGCTACCATGGTGACAAATCTGAACTCTTTTAGTTAGCAAAGGCACAGTAAATGCACTGGGTTGCAATTTATTATTTATATGGTAAAAAGATTTTCCCCTCTGTTGACTGAAAATAATAAAGTAATATCACATAGTAAAAACACAGCAGTACACCATAAATGAAATGCACTGTAGTATAAGGTGTAGCCTGAGGCCTTAGCCTATTTTACCTCTCCGTGACACTTAATAAGCCTAGCTTTACCCACATCACATCGAATCAAAACAAAGAAAATAATGGCTGTTATTTTTAAACACAGCATGATGATAAACAAGACATGACATCTATTCACTGTAAGTCACATATTTTCTATCTTGTATGTTTTCGTTAGTTTCAGTGTGTAGGATTTAGTGACATCTAGTGGTTAGGTGACAGATAACAACCAGCTGAACACCTTTCACACCCTCTCTAGATCCAGTGTTTGGTTTGTTCTGGGCCACTGTAAAAACACAGCAGTGCAACATTGTGGATTCCCTACGCGACACTGGATGACGCTTCATTTCGAGCTGACAAAAGTTGAGCTATGTTCTTTTTTCTTTACTTTGGCAGAGGCCTCAGTGTTGACTCTCAGACGGACTACAGATGTGAACAGTTTGCTTCGCTGCACTTCCGACTTGCCCTAACTCACTGCTCTCACTTGACACTGATTAATTGTCTCCTGTATTTTACGGTGATTAAAAACACTAATATATTCATTGCTACACTCAACATGATTGAATGAATACTGGATTATATATGGACAAGACCGTCAGGTGCTTTGTGTTGTGGGGTCAAGCACTCGGGCCCCAGAATGATTATCCAACGTCTTAAGTGTCCGTCAGCGCTGGTCAGAAATCAGGCTCATGAATATAAATGGAGAGGTCAAGTGTTGGAGCGGTCCAAAGAAACAACATACAGCTCAGCAACATGGAGAGGATTCTACACAACTCTGATAAAGTACAATATAAAAACTGTCCCTGAGGTTCTCTGGATTTTAATCCGATTAAAAAGAGGTGATCAGGGTCCCTTTTCAGACATGGTACTAACATCCAGCTAATAGGAATAAAAACCAATGTATAAAAAGCTACTCGGTAATGAAGCGCAGTATTTCTGTCAGTTCTATGCTTTACACTTCTACCAAATGTGTTGAGCTTAAAAATAATTTATAGCATTAAATATTAAATGAGTGATTCCAAAGCATTCTGGTTTAAGGTCCCTTATTTTAAGTGACTAGTTGGACGTCTGTCCTGTTTCAGTTGTGTGATTCTATTCAGAGTTTGCAGTTTACACTGTAGTACTGTTGCTTATATTGTACAATTTTCAGATACTTCCATCCATCCATTGTCTTCTGCGACGCATGGTATTGCTTCTCTCTTCCTAGCCACACTTACCAGCTCTTCCTGGGATCCGGGGGACTTGTACCAAGTGTTTCCAATTCTATCTTATTCTTTTCTCTACCGAAAAAAATATGCAGTCATCATTATTGCTCCCAACAGCATAGCTTCCAAAATTCATCAATCTTTTGGTTCACTCTCTTCTGCCATTCAGACTAATCTCAGAAATCTTAGTGTTATATTTGACCAGTCCATGCTCTTTGACCATCATATCAAATTATTAACCTGTAATTCTTTTATCCACCTGAGAAAAACTGTAAAACTCGTAGCGTTAATATTTCATCGTTTTAAGACAACTGCAATTCCCTTTTTCACCTGCCTCAATAACTAGTCTCTTTTTTGTTCTACTCTTGATGACCATTCAAAGCTCTTTACAGAATAGCTTTACCATTCACCTCTTCACACACACATTCATACTGTGCATCTACGTGCAGCACTTGTCTATCATACATATATCACAGCCATCAGAGCAGTAGAGGGGACAGGGATCGAACCTACAGTATTCTGCTTAGTGGACACCCTGCTCCTGAGCCACATTCGCCCCATCAAGGTGACTCATTGTATCCAACAGTGCATCTTGAAAACTAGTGTAAAACTGGTGGTGACCACTAACCAAACAATATCTACCATCATGCACTGCACTTGCAGCAATAACAGGAAGAAAAATGGTGGGGAGACGAGAGGAGAGAGAGGGCAGCTTGTGTCAGTCTTCTCCCTCTGGCCATTGTACTTCTTATTCTCTTAAAAAATATCTGAATTGTCGTGAGGATGAAGACAAGTTTTATAAGACCGGTTTCACAGACCGGTTTTATAACATTTCATTTTTGTGTATACTTCCCTAATATTTCTGATGGCGTTTTTGTTTGTTTTATGTCTGGCACCAGACAAATCAGCGAGTTTAGCGTAAAAGTATTAAAACTAAGTGTAAAAAAACTTTATAAAATGTATTATGGGATTGTGGTTGTTCGTCATTATCCTTGGTGTCCTCACCATACAAGTTCCTATGGCTCCTCACAATTTGCAGTGTGCAGTACAGACACAAAGCATGTTTCTGCTGCCTGCCATCACCCCGAGCCTCCTCACAACAGCTGAGTCTGGAACTAAGACTTTAACCTAATCATGGTTTTGTAGTTTTGGGGCTTTTGACCTCAGGGACAGAGCAGATCAGCACATGAGATTTCCACGATGTGATTTTGTTTGATGCAACGGGGTGTTGCTGAGGAGTAAATGATAAATGCTCTCAGTCAAGTATAGTCCGTTGCGTTTGTAGCCTGAAATCACAAATCAGCATCAAAGGGTTTTAAATGCTGGAGAAACTGAGACTGTCTCTTTTTACCCACAGCAGGAACAATAAGATAAGGAGAGGGAGAGGCAGTGCAGAGAAGGAGGTAAAGAACGTAGGAGAAAGTACATAGAGGTAGTATTGAAGGAAAGAATGAGGTCAAGAAATCTGTTAAGGAAGCAAAGAGGCAGGAATGAAAAGGATAAAAAAAAGTAGGGGACAAGTTATTATTGAAGGACGGATGGAAGGGGGGAAGAAGAGGAGGATGTATAGAAGGAAAGGAATAGTGGGAGAAGGAACGACAAAGACAAAGGAAGTAGAAAAGGAAAGGAGTTAGAAATAACAGGGAAGAAGGAGGCAAAAGAGGAAAGATGGAGGTAGAGCACTAAATGGTGGTTGAGAGTAGGAAAGAAGGAGAGAGAAGATGAAAAGAGCAGGTAGTGAAGAAAAGTAAAGAAGAAAAAGGAACAGAAAAAGTAGAGATGAAGGATGGATTGATGGATAGATTGATGGAGGCAATAAGGGAAAGGACAATGAAGAGGAAAAGAAAAAAAACTTGTTTCTGTGCGATTTCTTCGATGATGAAATCCAATGCGTACCTGTACATTTCTTGGGGCTGCCTGGTCTTTTGCCGTGCATCCCCAGCTTACAGCTGAAATTTTCCTCCCAGAACTCGGCAAACCAGACGTTCCTGCGGTTGTTGGAAAGTGAACGGCTCTTGAAGTAACGGTCGAATGCTGCAGACAAAAAAATAATAATAATTACAGTCACGGCCTGCCCCTCGATGTCAGTGATGTGCTCAGGTTTGTCACACAAGGGGCTGTTCTGTCCCCCTTTCTTCCTTCCTGTCTCACCTTCCACAGACGCCCTCTTGGGGAGGATGGTGATTGCGCCCTCGGCCACCCGCTCCTGCTGGACCACCGGAGAGATCTTAGAGCCCCAGCTGTCAGAGCCCACCCACAGGAAATGGCCCGTCAGGTTGTTGCGTTTCGCTGCATCCAGGATTCGCCTGTCAGGGTCATAGCAAAAAGAAAATCAGAGACCAGAGAATCCGTCTAGACTTTCTGAAACAAAGAGCAGCTGAGGCTGATGGGAATGTCACTGATTTTGAGACATGTGGTCAAAAACCAAAGTGCTGGACAAATGGTGCTAAACAGTGATGGATAGTAAGTACTTTTCCTCAAATACAGTACAATGCTTTACTCGAGCATTTCCACTTGTGCTACTTTATACTATATTGCAATGTTACCATTTTACCATTAGCAGAGGGGGTTTTGTTTTAACAACTGTCTGTTTGTTGGTTGGTTTGAAAACAAGATTATGTGAATAAAACTAGATTATTTGACATTTTATTTCTCGGGGAATAATCCATAGATCTTGATACAAAATCAGGCACATTCAGAGAATTGATATGAGTGTTGGCAATTTGGTGCAGCAAGATTTAATCGAAGAGTACTGTTGGGCCTCACCATGCTTTTTCATTCACCTATAAGTTGCAGCTGCCTGACACACACTATTCTGGGTTTTTTCTCTTGCATTAAGTTACAGTTCACACACCACCATAATCAAATAAAAAACAGATTCAGGTCAGGTTTTCTTTTCTCTATTTCTTTGTACTTACCTTTCCCACCTTGTGTTGTAGAAACATTAGGAGGAAGTTGCCCAACACTTCCTGTATTTATACCCTTGCTCCCAGTGACATCACTGCTGATGTCACTGGGAGCAACCATGTGTGAGGAGAGGTGTAGTAGGTTTTTATTTGGTGCATTCCACATGATGGTTGCCAGTTAGACATTTTGTCATACATTTTCCACTGATACAGAACCCTGTCATGTGACTTCAAAACATTGTGATAGCGAGACAGCTGCAGTCAGACTGTGCCCCTGGGAACTACCTCTGTGACAACACAACTTTGCTCTGATTGGCTGAAGGCCTCACTGACAAGGATATTCAGATCCATTATCTGCTGCTTATTTCTCCACAGAGGATGAGACACAGCCAATTTGACCTCCTTCAGACAGTTGTTGAAATAAATTGTATGTATAAATAGACACATATATTTCTAAATAATTTGGCTGAGATTATAGAAGATTTTGTTTTTTGTTTGTTGACAGTTTCCTCAATTTTTTTCTTCTCAATGAAAGAGAAAAGACAAAACATCAGCGGATCAAGTCAGACACAGTCAGACCAATTCTATCTCTCACACCTATTATTTGCTTATTTTGTTGATGCTTGGAGACAAGTGCTAGAACAAGCATTTTAAAAGTTGTAATAAATAACCTACTTGGCTGTTGCAAGAGGAGGCATGGCTAGCAGGATGAATGGTTACAAGTGCATCTGATGTTTATTTAAAGGTTCAGTGTGTAGAATTTAGTGATATCTCCTCAACATGAAAGAGAACATGTGGTGAGTTGTCATGGAAACTCAAAAGGTTTTACTTTGTCCAGTTTGGACGAAGGTAAAAAATATGATGGTCTCCACAGAGAGGACCCCCCCTCCATGTAAATATAAAGTATTTAAATATAAAGGGTCTTTTCTGGGGTAAAGAAAACTACAAT